TAATGGATCACATCTATAAAGTATCTAGTGGTAGGCGCAGACCACCTGACACTGTTATGTTAGTTCCCCTCTGCCACCCTCCCAAAAAAGGACACTTGGGTCACCAGCCAAGGGCTGGGGTGGGACAGAGGCCTCAGCCTCATACTGGCAAGGAAGGAAACATGCAAATAGCTTCAAGAAAAGGAAACAGACCGTTTATCTGCCTGGGCAGCAGCTGCAGCTGAGCTGCAAGGGTTCAGGGCCTGCTGCTGAGGAGAGGTGAAGTCCCTACCTCCTCTGGTCCCATGACAGAGCTGGGGCCCAGGCCCTCTTCTGCAGGGCGGGGCTCCACCTCTGCGCTCTCCTCTAGCTCAGCCCCTGGCCCTCTCTAGGGGCCTTCATGCCATATTAGATGGGTCAGATGGCCCTGGTGCCCTGCTCGGAGGTTTTGATTCCTAGACCCTTCCTCACTCTCGGCTTCCCCATCACTAAGCAGGGCAGGGTCTGGCAAAGGCCTATGTGGCTGTGACCCTCCCAGGCCAAGAACTGAGCTCCATCCTGCTCCCCCATACCTGGGTTGGATCCCCCACCCTGCCTCCCTTCCCAATTCTCCTAGATGTGCTGGGCTAGCTGAGGCTGGGCAGAGGCTGCTTTCTCTGCCCATCATTGGTCCTGGGCAGCTGCCTGGCAGCCAGGAGTCCCCACCTTGCCAAACTTGATGTGCTGCTGATAGAGGATGCCATCCTTGATGGGGGTTTCCAGAGGTTCCATGGCCATGGCTGGGCCACAGGGCTGCTGCTCCGAAGACCTGAGACTGGTGACAGGCTGGACGGGAACTCCTCACACTTCCCCTTCTGGCCACTTCCCCTCCCTCTGTCCCGAGAGGCAGCTGCAGAGCTGGGGGGAGGGGAGCCCGGTCTTTAGTTAGGGAGTCCTGTCTTCAATTACGGGGTTGGGAAGCAGCACATATTTCTTCCTTGGGTTGCTGCTGACAAGGTGCCTACAGCTGCCTGGTGGGAGGCTGCGACCACCTGAGGGCAAATGTCCCATGCCTGCACCTGGGTCAGCTGGGTGTGAGCAGCTGACCACAGGCTGGCTCCTGAGTCATGAGCTCCGACTCCTCCCTGTCCTGCCCTGGGCAGCTGTGCACCCTGGGACCTGGCACTCCACAGCCCTGCCCCCACCCAGGAGCCTCCTCTGGCAAACTCCTGGCTTTCCTGCTCTGAGTCTTGTTTTGTACCATTAAGGCCGCCTGAGACAGCCTCCCCAGTCCCGCTCTGCTTTTCTTTCTCCCCCAAATATTTCTAATGTTCACTTCATCCTCTCCATCCTCACAGCTCCTGCCCATTAATGGCGTCTCCCCCTTGACCACTGCCCCACCTGGGCCCACCCTAGCCCTCTCCACCTACCCCAAACCAAGCATTTCTCCCCTTCCTTGGGTCTAGCCTGAGCTCCTCAGCCCAGAACTCCGGGGCTTGGGTGTTCTGGCCTCCACCTCCCCCAACCTCATTTCCCCAAAGAACCACCCCCCCAGGCCCCTCACCACTGCGCTGCTGGGGCCGCCTCTTCCTCTAGAGGCCTTCCCTGACCACTCCACACCATGTGAGAACACGAAGGCACTTGCAGTACACACACTGCGCCAGGCACCCCGTCCACACGACCTCAGATCCGTAAGCGTGGGTGGCAGGCCCCAAGGGAGCCCTCCACAGAGGTCACATGCTCTTTTAAAGCTCTGCTTCCTGCTGGGCACCTACTTTTCTTTGCCTGGTCCTGCTGGAGGCCAATAGAGGACTTTTGTGTGGATCTGAGTTCTGGGAACAGCCTCATGTCACTCATTCATCCTGGGAGAGAACGTGTAACCAGGCTGAGGAACGTCATTTAGGGATCACACATGTGACCAGGATGTGTTTTCTTTTTTTTTTGTTTTTTGTCTTTTGTCTTTTTTCCGTGTCCGGCAACGGATCGCAACCCTCAGTGTTGCCCCTGCACCGGACCGGGGACCGGCAACGGGATCGCAACCCTCGGTGTTGC